TAGTCTTATGAAGTATTCTCAATCCAAACAAACGCATACCCATTTATACCCTTTCAACATAACTAAATACATACCCATATACACTCATACAGCATACCTATGTGGACCTTCTCAATCTCCTCTAGTCTACTCATAGACAAATATATACACTCATAAGACGTAAATCTTCAATAATCTTATGAGGTGTCTACCCATAAAATCGTATAACTCTCTTACATCTTTTTCTCATACCTAACCTTGTTGAGACTTCACCTATTTATAAGTATATAAACTTTCATATTAAGAATCCTTTTCCTCTTAGAATTCTTTTTCTGTAAGTCAAACTTGTCCATCAAGCAATATCTAATAAATCTCAAACAAATCTCTTATAAGATTTGAGTCATTATTTCTAACAAAATCATCTAATAAAATATTAACGAAAGTAATAACCATTAAAAATTTTGAATAAGCGGTTATTGTCATAGGCTAAGACGTAAGCCCCAAGCCGATAGCTGGCACGGGCCATGGAGTTGTGATGAAGAAGAAATAAAACTCCCCTCAACAGCACTTGTGGAAGATCACTATTTTGCACTGATCTTCAAGCAAGGAGAAACTATCACGTTCCATTTTTCTAATTCTTTATAATTAAGTTGGCCTAAAAGACCTCGTGGGAATAAAAAAGAAAACAAACAAAAATTCAAACATATTCAATTAATGCGTAAAATAAGGCGGTTAAATAATACCCTTCAATACCTTTCAAAAAATTAAAGAATATTATTTAAGATATTTTTGATCAAAATATCTTAAATAATCTCTTTTATAAAAATATTAGAGATTATTTAAGGCATTTTTGTAAAAAATGCCTTAAATAATCAATCCTCTTCAATTTTTTGAAAGATATTATTTAAAGCAATTTTGACCAAAAACATATTAAATAATCTTTTTTAAAAAAATATTAGATATTATCTAAAAATGTCTTAAATAATTCTCTCATATTTTTTAAATGATATTTATTTAAGGTGTTTTTAGACTAAAAACACTTTAAATAATCTCTTTAAAAAAATAAAAAATTATTTAAGACGTTTTCCAACCAGAAACATCCTAAATAATCCATAATATTTTTTTTATTGATGCTATTTTATAAAAAAAAAATAGTAATCAAATAAAATATTTGTCTTCGGCTTTATTTGTCATTTGGGTATTTATTATTAGTAAAAACTAATAAAAGGTTGCTATCATTTATATTAAGGAGATTATGGTAATTATTTAAAAATTAATATATGTGAATTCCTCCTAATCAAACAAGTAAATTTGAATACGAGATATCATGAAAATGGAAAAAAAAAAAAATTCGAATATCGCACTTTCCTAAAGATCACACTTTCTCCCAGAATCCAAGATTTTGCCAACTAAACGCTTCCTAAATATATATTATGGAAAGCAACAAATAGAGTAACATCAAATTTAGGAACTCACAAAATTTGGATGAAACATATAACCAGTGACTTATAGAAAAAAAAATAATGGAACAGAAATGATGTGCGATTGTAGGGTATCAATCTTTTAAGAAACCTGAACTCTGTAACCAAGTGAAGTATTTAGGAAAACAAAACGAATGAAAAGGTAATCAGTTCACAATATTGAAGATAAAGGAAAGGAAAAGAACATCTAAAACAGGATCTTCTGTAATTGCCTTAACCAAATAGTGTTTAATATATGAATTTATGTGTAACCAAAATTCTCCTATTAGTGGCCATCCTAGTGCATTGTATCCAAGCACTTCAAAACCATGAAATATATAATATATTATCAACAAGAAAGAGTTAGTAATATCCATTTCATCCTCATTATTACTATAGTTTCCCAAGGGAATCGTAACAATAATTTTGCCTATAGAATCTTTCTCATAATGACACCTTATTGCTTAAATAGGACATATATAGGTTATCCAACACAATCAACGAGTATGATGTTTTTCAAGTTTAGTCAAGATTCAGTATTAACTTTCATCATAAGTTCATAACCCTAGAAGGAAAATAAATCAAATACAACCTGTCTTGAAGTTTCTCAAAATATTTAAATGTTAATTACTTCCAATACTATAATCAGCTGCCTTTGCTGCCTGTAGCCCTTCTCTTCCACTAATGCTGACGCTAATATCAGTTTGTTGTATCATTCTCACATCATTTCCACCATAGCAGTAGCCAATGTTCCATAATCACACGTTAAACAAAGCTGCCAAAGTATCATTTCAGTTATATCAGTACTCATCCTTTCCATAGAAACAAAGAAAGTTAATAAAAATTGTGAGAAAACACATAATTACAGTTGTAATTTGTAATTAAAAATTTATTTGTATTCTTAGAATTAAGGAGTGTAAATATTTATATCCCTAGAATTAAGGGATAGACAATCCTTCAATTATAGAGATTACTTTTAAAAAGATTTAAGGAATATAAATATTAGTTTTTTATTTATCTTCTAGCATTAGTTTTAGTTGTATATAAACTTAATTCAATAGAGAAGTATTTTATATATTTTTCAATTTTTCACATGATATATCAGAGCTTTAAGTTATTCTTAAAAAGCAAAATTTTTAATCTTCATTACTGATTTTTGCCTTCATAGTCAAATCTTAATAAGATCTTTGTAACCGTTTCATTTTTCGTTTCATTGTCAAAACTTGTTTCAATCTTGAAAAAAATAACCATAGTAGAGATAATAGAATCTACTGCTACCACACAACTTCATCCACTTCATTAGTAAGTTAATTATAGATTCTTACCCAGAAAGGTGCCTTATCGAAACCATAATTACAAGGTCTTAGGTAGAGGCAAATCGAAAGTATGAAGTAGGGTGTCCATAAACATTTAAAAAACTGGAAAATAAAAAATTTTCTCTAGACATCCTCAAAAAATTTTCTTTAACTCCCTTCTTGTCAACAAATTGATAAATCCGTTGATAATTTTTTATATATATTATAAGTAGATACATTGAAAAAGTCTTAACATTACAATCATAGTTCATTAGCTACCATAAGTTGGTGCTTGTCAAAAGATCATGGTGATCCTGTTCAACTCCGTATTCATTTTTTTTTCCAAATTTAAATAAGTAAAGATTTTCATATAAGAAAGACACCTTTAATTCCTTCACTAGTTCCCAAACCACTCTAATTAAGAGTTCTCAACTAGCATCCATAATTCTCCATTTTTTGTATTTATAGTCTCTTGCACACCATTAGTTTTCGGACTTTGCTTCTCTTCAGTAAGCTTAAGGTCTTACTAGGCTCGCTCTAATTCTTCTGCCATGTCACTGGCCCCAATTGCAACCGAGAAAACTCAAAGGAAACTCAATCTCAAAAACCCTAAAAGAAAACTCTTGAGGGAAGAAATTCTTGTATAAAAAGAAGACTCACAAAACTCCTCCTACTAAACCCTAGTTTCGAGAAGATTTTATATGTGACTATTACACTAAATAACGGTTCATTGAATGGATGATGAGATAAATTCTACTGAGATCAGAAATAATAACAGTAATGGTATTAGATACTATAGTAATGAAATTGAAAATTATAACGATGAGATAAAAAATAATGATTAGATATGTTTAAATGTTAATGTAATGACAATGAAATTAACTAACTGTCTCATTAAAGAGAGTCAAATTCCATAATTAAATTTTTTTTTTTTTCAAATTTACGCTAAATCAATATTGCCTTAAGCTTTCTAATTGGAGACTAGAGATACAATATTGCCTTGACCTTTCTAATGGGATACTAGAGGGACAATGTAGGTTTTGACCTCTTCTAATTGGCGCCTTGAGGGACAATGCAGGTTTTGACCTCCAACTATACCGCAGAATGCATTTGGAGATCAAAACCAGATGTGGTGGAATCCAAATGAAGCTCCTGTTTATTTTTAACTTTCTCCGGCGTTGAGGGATATTATTCTCCAAGTTTATGCTTATTCAGTGTTAAACAGGAGGGTTTGAGATACCCTTTATTTTTGTCGTTATTATTTATCGTAAGCAAAAGGCGAGAACCAAATTTTAATACAACTGTTCCGATACGTTTATTTGACGTGGATGAAGTTATTCATTTAAGCTCTGATTGGGTTTAACTTATCCATCCAGGGAAAAGGAATCAAAACCATAAATAAATGGTTGAGTTAATAAGATAATATTACTATTAGCTGGGAAGCAAAGTACCTTTAGAGGAAGGAAGACAAACCAAAGCAAAGCAAATAACGAAGCGGACTAACAAGAAGCAATATTAGAGACTTCATATTTCATATCATTGAAAATAAAAATATTAGTTTGAATGAGAGGTGTTAAAAAAACAAACATCACAAGCTGCATCTGCTACAACAAGGGATGCAATACAGACTAAATTGGCTGCACCAGATGTATCATCAATTGCAAGATATCTGCAACAGTTGAACCAGGATCAATCTTTTCCAAAGGATCGATTCCAAGCAACAGCAGCAGCTTCCAGCGAACAACTGCAATTCAAGGATTGCCTCCATATACAGCTACATCTTATCCACAACTGAATTAGGTTTCTTTGACTTAGCATCTTCAGTTATCTCGTGTAATATTTATCCTGTTGTTACAGCCATAGCTAGATTAGGATTTAAGTCTGGAATAAATTTCTACTTATCTTCTAACTGTCAATTACTGTATATATGTATTACAAATAGAGCAAACTCTTTACATGGCATCAGAGCCTTTCTAAACCTAACAGCTTTTTCTTTCGGTCTCATGGCTTTCAATTATAACTGTTACATCTGGTGCAGCGAATTTGGTCTGTATTGCATCCCTTGTTGTAGCCTGCGGAGCTTGTGATGTTTGTAGTCTTAACAAGACGCTCTGACAAAAACAGCTAAGAGAAAGTATAATTTTCTTTCCTCTCAGTTGCAAAAAACAGGGATCACTATCCTATATTATTTACATCAGATTTAGGATAAACCTTAACTAAAAAGTTTCTCAGTCCTTTCTTTTTTCTTGCTCTTCAAAGCCTCCTACCTATTCACATGTTGAAAATTATAGTGAAACCGAAATATTTGCCTTAAAAAGCTGCTATAAACTATCAAGCATCCACTGGTGGAGGAAGATTAAGATCGAGACGGGGGCTCGGCAACCTTGGCTTACAATCAATGATTGAAGAAGAGTCCGACTCACTTTGGACCCCACCTCCAAAACCCATACTCAACCGAACTTCGACCGGCTCAAAAGGAAGCCGGTAAACCTGACCTACAACCTCGGTTCTTCCCGACGCATCGAAAAACAGAACTGGCCGCGCGTGAGCCACCCCACTCATTCCACCACTACCCAGAGCTAGCTGCCGGTGGCACGCGAAAGGAATTCTCCCTACAACCCCATTCACACTTTCGGCTTCACACTTAAGCTCGACGGTGCTGCTTTGTCTAGGACTCTGCTGGCTCTTGTCCTTGTTACCTATGTAGCTGTTCGTTTCATCTGGTAAAGGGAAGTTGGTCTTAGCCTTAGGCCCACGAAACTCACGTGCCACCGCGTCGTAGGCTCTGGCAGCTTCCTCAGCCGTATCAAAAGTACCAAGCCAAACGCGTCTCTTCTTGCCGGGATCTCTGATTTCAGCTGCGTATCTACCCCATGGTCTCTTCCTAACTCCCCTATAATGCACCTCTTTGCTCTTTGTATTTCCGCTGACGGTTCCTTGCTTCAAGATTTGGCCTGCATTTTTGTCTTTAGGAGCCATTATAATGTTTTGGTGTAATTTGCTTAGAGAGACAAATGCGTGTGATTTAATATAGAATTAGGGGGATGCGCAGTCGGGGTTTGACTGACGCCCCACCCAAGTCGGGAGACAATAAGATAACGCTGTCTGGGTGTACGTGTCACGTAGGAATTTCGAGGCAGGCGGCGAGGTGTTGATGTTGTGCCGGCTTTTTCCTTAACCTCCTTGCATGCCCTTCACGCTTTACTTTTTTTAGTGGATTCCACTCTCCACTAATTTCAAGCATGAATGCCGCCCATATCTTTCTCTTAAATGTTGCCATTAATGTTAAAAGTAATTTAAATTAAAAAAATAAATCTAATTTAATCTAAAAGTATGCTAATTTTAATATTTTATTTATATATGATATGATTAAATCAAAATTTTTATTTAACGGAGATTTAGTGTAAATATATTAAATTATAAAAAAATAATAACACACAATCGTATTAAAAAATTAAAATTTTCATATCTAAATATAATTTTTAAAAATATCCAATTTTATATTTTAAAACATTATACATTAATTTTATTATCTATACTTTTGAATACATTTTTTAATATACATAATTAATTTTTTATTTATTATACAAAGAAAATTTTAAAATATTTATTTTTGAAAATATTTTTATTATGATAGAATCAATTCTAATTTTAACAATAAATAAACCAGATCAGTAAAAACTTTTATGTTTATTTAAAATTATAATTTTTATTTTAGTGAAGACATAACTCCTACTGAACCTCATATAGCTTTTTGCTCCTGATTTTATAATCAATGTTACGGATTATGCTTAAGAATGAACGAGGAATGCAAACTATTTTTTTTAATTTTTAAAATGAAAAGGCGTGTTTAGCACGATCCTTTTGCAAAAGTGGGCAAAGAGGCATCTTGTTCGGTGCCTTTCAGTAATGACCAATTCTAACAACTGACGGTATCATGTGCAATTATATATATATATATTGGATAAATGCAAAACTTCAGAATCGGTATTTTTACACCGACAGGTAAGAGAGAGAAGAGAGTCAAAGTACAGCCATGTAGAAAGCGACGCGTGTCCTCAGCGCCGCCCTTGACGCTCCAAAGAGAAGCCGGGTGGTGGACCGTATGGGTTTGTTTCGGTCCAATCACCTAACGACATATGCATACGTTGACGTCACCGTCTTTGTTTGCAAAGAAAGTTGTCCCGTTCCTTCGCTTTCCAAAAACTTTTTTTTTACTCCCATCCCACTCGCAAGCGTGTGATTCAAAGAAATGTTTTACGGGAGGTTGTTGGGAACGGGCTAAGCGAATCGCGTGACGGAGTGAAGCAACCAAAAGGGTGATTAAGATGTAACCTAAGCCAAAAAAAAAAAAAAAAGATATAATCACCGTATTCTTAGCTCAAGCAAAAACAAAGCAGCAGCTTCAAGCCATTATGGTATAGATTTATAATTTTGAATAAGATGGTATGGATAAAGATAATATAAAATATAATATAATTTAAATTTTAATAAAACATTTATGAATATAATAAAACATATGTGTAATATATTAACACTAATTTATATATTATTTTTTATATTTTATAAACCAAATGAAAATAATATTAATTCGTAAATTACTAGATTACTGGAACGGATGATTTAGTTCCACGAAAACTTAGGGTCAATGATAGGCGTGGAACTGATGCTTAAGTTGACGGATTGTGGGTCCCACTGAGAGACAATAATGGGCAGGCGGCGGAGTGATTTGTCTCAATTCTGCGACTATTTAAGATTGTTTCCCATTGATATCTGCTAACTTGGTGGTGAGGGATCTAGCTTTTCCATCCCAAGTCAGAACTGGAGTTAAAATATCTGAGGTTGAACTCTTGCTTGGGTTCAAATAATAATTGGAATTGGATTCGGTACCATTAGATTTTAGATTTATTTCGATTTATTAGTGAATAAAATTTATATATTATTATTAAATTAAATAAATTATTTTATTAATAAAATAAATTAAATAATATTATTTTATTAATGAATAAAATTGTAAAAATATTAATTTTTGTATATTTATTTTAAAAATTAATATCTATTTATTAATAAAATAAAATTATTTAATTGATTAATAAAATATAAATTTATACATTAATATTATATTAAATATTAATTCTTAAATTATATCATAAAAGTTTTTGGAGATCGCAAAGTAACCCACTTTCTTGCCTGTAAAAAAAACAACTAAAAAGGGCATGTGAAGCACGCCGTGCAATAGAAGCCGTTTATTCTGGAGATTGGGGGTCTGTCACGTGGCTAGGCAATTATTTATTGGCTACGAAGAGTTTGCCAGGGTGATGGGAAGACGTACAACCTATAATTTTTTATTAAAATATTATAATTATTCAGTTAAAATAAAATTTTATATACAACTTTATCATTTATAAATATAAATTTCATATAATTATGAATTATTAGTAATTAATTATATTATAATCATTATAAATAATATGCTTTGACAATAAGAGAGTAAACCTAAATGGATAAAGCTGAAAATTGGTTATACTAATTTGCCGCGGTAAAAATTGCAAGTTTTAAGTCAGTGCTATCAAAATTGATTTAACCTGTTTGAATTTAAATATAGCATAATTTGATTTGATAAAAAAAGTAATAATTCAAACCTTTTCAATTTGAAATTGAAATAATTTGAATTCAAATTAATTCGATTATGAAATGATATTGTTTGAGCCAAAACCAGGTTTAGGTAAACACTTGTAAAAAAAGAGCAAAAGTCAGGAACAACATCGAAGGTGGCTCTGATGTTTGTGTTCTGACTCTCAGCCAGTAAAAGGTTAAAAGAGAAAAGAGAGTTATGCAAAAGGATGAATGAATGGCTTAGGGTTACTTGTGAGAGAATAAGAAGTATTTATACTTGGGGTGTGACACAGCTGGTGGCATTCGACTTGGAATGGGCTATGCTGACGTGGATCTCAATGGACCAATAACTACGTAACACATTCGCATACCCATCTTTGGGCATATGGATCAAGAGTGAAGCTTATGTCAACACACGAGAGGTGCCAGTCCAAGAATCTTGGTTGCGCACCTCATCCCTGACAACTTTGGCATGTCAAGTCAGTACGAAGTCCAAAGTACCTCAGGTTGGCTAAAGGTTCGAAGTACCTCCAGACCTGAGGGATACCTTTAAAGATTTCACCCAGAAGGTACTTAATATACCAATCACTCTGTCGTCCCATCAACTATTCTGATGGTTCAGATTAGGTGATTTGAATTTTGCGAAGGTTAAATGATTGGGCAGAATGGGCATACCCTTTTACTTATACATCTGAGGTAGGGACAACAAGGTCGGCCAATATGATCGGTCAGGTTGCCTAGCAACACTAGGCTAAATATGATGTAAACACTAAGCATCAAAATTTGACTTGTTTGGAAGCGTGCTTAATTTGACTATTTTAACCAACTATTCCTAAGTGCGTCTTAGTTTTGCTTGCTAGATACTCTTTGATCAGTTATTGCTCTGTTAATGACTTATAAAATCTTAAACTATAGGACATGCTGTAAAATCGAGAAGCATTTATTGAAGAAAGATGGCTGTCGAACCGACTAATTTTAATTTTTTTAGGTCGGGAATTCGAAAGTCACCTTTTTCTATATATATATATATATATATATATATATATATATATGCTCTTCTTATCTCAAAACTGACACTTTTGAATCTCTTAACAAAACTCTTGTTCTCTAAGGATTTGAGCTATTCTTTGGCATTTTAGGTATTCTTTGGGATTTTAGCTATTCTAGAATGTTTTTAGGCATTCTGCTAGGTTTTTAGGTATTCTAACTATCCTCTAACCTTTGTGTTTCAGGTAATTCTTGGTGTTTTCCCTTTGTTTGAATTCTTCACCTCATTTTTCAGACTTTGGTACATCTTCAGACATGTCTCACTCTAGTTCATTTTTAAGATCATAGATGCTGAAGTAGATCTAAGGGCTGAGCTTTCAACTAAAACAACCGAGGTGAATGCCACCATGTCTTCATACTTGGACGAATCTCCCCCAACACTTTTTAAATGCCTAAGGTGAAGAGTTGACTAGACATAGGTGGTTTTGGCCTTTGTCCAAGGATAAGAAAAAGGCCCCTATACGAGAATGAAGCAGCTCATTCTGTCGTTAAGTTGAATAGAGTTGTCGTACTCGACCAAATGGTCATTCCCGTAAATATCTACCCACTTAACTTAATCTAGAGAAGTCAGGATCTGGATTTAAAGGTTTTGACCACTCGATGAGAATGACTCAAACTAGGGATAAAGCTTGGGATCATTTACTTAAGGTTAGTAACGTCTTTTCAGATAATAACCTTATAGAAACCTTGAGACTTTTAAAGGGTCGAGCTTTCCTCGAAAATTGCTCTAATCTTTGTACACTTGGTCATATAGACGAACTTAGGAATACTTTTGACCTCTCTAGTGATTACAAGGTTGAATCTTTTCATGCCTCTGATAGAATAACTCAACACCAAGGTTACAATAAACTATGGGTGTACAGGGAGACCATGGTAGCTGGGCTGAGATTTTCTTTGCATCCTTTCATAGAGATCGTAATGAATTTTTTATGGATTGACTCTTTTTCAGCTTGTACCCAACTGTTGGTGAAGCATTGTTAAGTTTATAGTGTTAGTTGAGGGTCTAAATAGGCATCAAACTTTTAATCTTTTTTGGATTTTCATTTCAATAAAAGCTTATCCTCGAGATTGCAATGGGTATTATGTTACAGCTTGATCTAGTAAGAAGTTATTTGATAGAATCGCTACTTCAACAAAAACATGAAATTTATTCTTTTATTCCATTATCACACCAAACGAAAAATAGGTAGTTCGAAATAGCCCAGGTCAGTTCATCAGCAATTCTGATGGTAATAACTCACTTTCTGTGGAAGACGTTCATGCCTTTCAAGAGATCAATAAAATCATGAATTATGGGACCTTCTTGATTGATGTAAATCATTTTACCTAG